AAGGAAGGGGAGGATAAAGGGGGATTAGGCGCGGCTTGGGCGCGGATGCGCGGCTCGCGGCGTGCGGTCTCGGGCTCGAACAGCTCGGTTCGGACGAAAAATTATATTACCATAATATAAATTACAATATTTAAAATAGTATTTAATAATTAAAATAAAATACCATAATTATAAAATATATATAATAAATACAACTAGGCATTTAAAATCATTTAAGCATTTAGACAATTAATTACCAATAATAATATTAGTCACAATTAATGATAAAAATAATAATAATAACAATAATCCAAATTATTCATAAACGAACGGGGCGTCACAGATTTCAAGTGAGTATTGATGATGAGCAGTATGTGGTAGAACTGAAGACCAACACTTGTACTTGTAGAACATGGGACCTTTGTGGGATTCCATGTATTCATGCTTGCTCTGTCATTCACTTCTTGCATAAAGACCCAGCTGACTTTGTGGATGGATACTTCAGCCTTGAAAGGTATATGAATATGTACAACTGCTCTCTTGAGCCATTGAATGGGAAAAATATGTGGCCTGTTGCTGATGGTTATCCAGTGAAACCACCCCCTTTTAAGAAAATGCCAGGCAGGCCTAAGAAGAAGAGAAGAAGAGCACCAGAGGAAGAAAGAAAGACTGATTCAAAGCTTAAGAGGTTTGGCCTACAGATGACATGCCAGAGGTGTCAAGGGAAGGGACACAATAAGAAGACTTGTCTGAAAGACCCTGTACCAAAACAACCAAAGGTTAGTATCTGTCATTAGTTTACTCTTTGTTTTTTAACATTTTTCTTACCTTCTGTTACTTCAAATTAGAACAAGAGGGGGAGGCCAAGGAAGGTACCAGCAGCACCTGTCATTGAACCAGTTGGAGGTATGTCCAGTAGCACTGTGTGTGAACCAAGTAGGAACAGTAGAAAGACTTCAACAAGATTCAAGAAGAAGCAATCTAGAATCTAGTGATACAGTCATTCATAAGGAACGAGCCATGGTGAGTTGTTAAATATGTGTTTTAGTGTTTTATCCTATACAAAGCATGTAGTTATATTTAGTTAATTTTTACAGGCTATGAAGGGTTTGGGGATTTTGCAGTCTAAAGAAACTGGAAATGTATACATGCGGGTAAGTGAGTTTAAACATAGTATAAGTCTTTGAAATTTCCACTTACAAGAGGTATTCAATTTCAACATCTTATGATTTCAATGTTCAGATGTCATCTGGAAAGGGTATTCACTTTATACCCTCAAGAAAATCAACCCTGAGTAGGAAAAAGAAAGGCAAGAGAACTGGAGATAACAGCCAAGGAGCTGAAAATATGGGGACTCAAGACAGTGTGGCAGAAGCCTCATAGTGTAATCAGTTTGTTTTGCTACTTTTGTGATGGGTATTCACTTTGTTTTGCTACTTTTATGATGGGTATTCACTTTGTTTTGCTACTTTTCTGATGGGTAATCAGTTGTTCTGTTATGTTTATGATGGTTTAGGGCTATGTTGATGATGGTTTAGGGCCATGGATAATTTTGGTGATCAGTTGTAATGGTTATGTTTTGGTTATGATGACGGTATGTATTTGACAATATGTTTTCTACTCAAGAAAGATTTTGTTATTTTTTTTCTACTTCTATGTTTATGGTTATGGTTTGAGCCCTACAGAACACAACATAAAGAACAAAACAACAATTCTTCACAGCAACGGCTTTCGCGCGTCTTGCTCAATCCCTTGCTTGTTCAGTCATAGAAGTTTTTCAAAACGAATAATTTATTCTGATTTCATCATCTTTGTCTTTATGTTGACCAAAAAGAGAAAAGACGGGGGAACACATTAGAAAACAAAACAGATGAACAAAAGTACAATTGATCCATTCAGTTCATCAATTCATTTCATTACCAAAAGCCTCAAAACATAACAATCACATTGATCCATTCAGTTCATAACAATCCTTCACCAAACCAGCACACTACAACAAACACATCTCCTACTCATCACCAACACATCAGAAAGCACACATCCTACCCTACAAAGTTCAATTGTCCCAACTCAATGTATCCATTAGTACGATTGTCTCTTTTTGAATAAACCAATATCAGTATTATGAATAGGAGTATTATAAGCCAAATTGCTGCCATTGCAAACATTCTTTGGAGCTTGCTCACTTTGTCCATTGCAATCTTCATCTTCTTCTCCATGTCTTCACACTTCAAGGTTTGAACCTCCAACAAATATTGAGTTTGCTCATAGAGATCTTGCACCTTCTCAATCTCTGATACCTTAATTGCCATCCTTTCTGTCATCAGATTTTCCATAACCTCTTTGCACCTTAATTGTTCTTCCAAACTCTTTTTCTGACCCATCAAGTTCACAAAGCAACCTTTCTGAAATGGAGGAAGACTTGAATCGATCCATTCAAAATGACCGCATTTCTCGGGGCCCTATAAATACAGAATAAAAATGCAAGGCACTCAAAATGACCACAGACATTAAAATCATACTAAAGTGACCTCGGTAAAATGCTCACCTTCCTTCGACTACACCGACTGAACCTCCTCGCCGGATTTTCTGGAGTCATTGACGTAAACACGTCCACCCCATGCTCACAAGTTTTTTGACTTGAATGAGGCGAAACATATCGGCTAGAGCTTTGAGAAGTCGATGAAGACATGGTTTCATATCGTCGATTTAGGGTTTGAGAAAATTTGGGGATTTTTCAGAAGATGTCGTCGATTGAAGGATTCTCGGTCTTATATAGGCCTTTGCGACGTGGAATATCGATTAGAAACAACAATTGACACGTCTGAAAAAAAAAAGCCACGTCGTTTAAAAAAGCCCGAAATTGGGCCCTGATCATAGATTTGCAAACAATAATGAAAGTGGTGCATAATTTTGCCAAGTTTAAAAGTGGATCATAAAAATGCAAATTTCGAAAAGGTCATGGTTTTTTAAGCAATTAGGCCAAAAAAAAATCTTGTTATACCGTAATCTGAATTGTTAATTAGAGGACAACTAAGGATTTTTCATGAGGAAGCATCAAATATATTCATATTAAAATGTCAGAAATAAATATCTAATGAGGACTTAATGTGATATTTTGGAATTTCCTTTGATCATCTGAAATAGCATCATGAAATAGATTAGTAGTAAGTTAATAAAACGGAAGGGGTGGTGGCGCAGTTGGCTAGCGCGTAGGTCTCATAGCTTAAACGAGAAATCCTGAGGTCGAGAGTTCGAGCCTCTCTCACCCCAAAATTCTTTTTTCACTCATTTTTTTGTCTTATAGGCCGCAGGCACAGCCACTTAAACCGTACCTCTCTGATTATCACCCTTCCCTTTTTTTTTTTT